ACTGTTCTCATTGATATTTTTTATTGTCATTATCGTTACTATTATTATTGTTATTATTACTATTATTGTTATTATTATTATTATTGTTGTTGTTGTTTTCCATATCTGTGTTGCCATTATTGCTAATATTGTTACTGTTATCATCAGTTTTATTATAATTCGTCGTTGATTATTGTTGTCATTGTTATTGTTACACGTTCAAAATTTTATCAGTTCATTTTACATGTCTGAAAATAAATAAACAAACGGTGTATCTGAATAACGCATTTATTGGAAGTCAACGCAACATTGGTATTAATATTCGATGAAATAATGAAATAGTAGTGATATGCAAGCATTTATTTGCATGGATTATACTCACGGTTTTCTTAGGAACGTAACTTTGCGCTGAGGCGAATTTGGAAGTATGAGCGATAGAGGATTAAGGAGGCCGCAAAAGCATTGTTCACTGATATTTTTTAGAATAATTTGTCTGTAGTTGTACGATAATATTTTCAAAGTAGTTGTTTAATCGCAAAATATTGATGCCTGTAATAGTACCAGTGAATTCTTCGCAGCAATATTCTTAACCAGTTGATCAGCTATCAGAATTATGTCGTTTATCAAGAATAAACAGTAGACAATCAAAGGACAGGAAAGGAATCATGGTTACGTAATGTAAAAGTGTGATAGCCACATGATTGTTCACTGTTTTTCATCATTAATAGCATCTATTGATAAGATTATATATCATTGATCAAGAAAAAGATCATGGTAATGAAAAATGGTCAAGGTGAAGGTTTAAGAGATAAATTTAAGGGGTATTGTCACATTATCGGGGAAAAATTTCAATAGCGGACTGCGTTAATCATATTAAGGCAGAATAATTTTATGCAATATACGATCGATATACGGAGAAAGTCAATTGAAAATTTTAATCTTTTGAACTAATTTGGTTAGGAGACATTTATTATCAGCAATATCAAAAATGTTTATCGTTATTTTTATGCTATTATCACTGGTTTTATTTTGTTAATTTCATCATTATTATCTTTATTATACCGTCAGACGAATTAACTGGAATGATGATTACACAAATAAGCAATTAAGGTATTAAAGGGGATAATGTCATACGACCAAATAACAATTGAGATGATACATGAATGAATCAATCAAAATCGCCTTCATCAAATTGCCTTCGCCAAAAACTTTTAGCGTTAGCATTATTCATCATTCAGAACGTTAAAATAAAAATGATTATCGCAATGTCACTTATTATCACTCCTTCAACATTGTCCTTTCATCATATTTCAGCAGTGTTTTGTTGTGATTATTCAATCATCAGATGATTTAAGGTTTGTCCGATAAATTGAATGTATACATTTATTTACTATTGTTGATTATTATCGAATTTCTTCTTTAACGCTTTCTGTTTCTCATTCTCATCGAAGTACCACGTTGTTATCGCGAATCTAAATTAATTTTATTACTATCGCTAGTAATATTAATCTTTATCCTCTTGAAAACCATTCGATCCTCATGGCAACGCAATTACCAAGTTAGCGATCACGTAAATACTATTAAATAATTATAATCGATGGTAATTTTCCATTGTTTATGATAAATATTTCTTTATATGAATTCAAATAATTGACACCTTCAAAGATACATCATATTTTATGTACTGTCATAACAAGCGTTTTAAAATAATAAAAATTAGAATGTGAACGAACCTGTTCCTGAACGATGGTAACACTTCGTGTGGATTACGTCGATCCGACCAAAACAAAGCCAATCGATCCGCCTGAGGACTGATATCAATGGGTGTTGCTGATGTTTCTGGATAGAGTCTCAGAACACCACCATCCTTAATTTACATTTTTATGTGCTATCAACCTAAAGAATTGTGATGATGAGTTCAGTCGAAATCAAAAATCCAGATTCCGACTGAATGGTTTTGAGGTTCGATCTGACAATGAGTACCAAACTTTGGAATTTCAAATGATGGATTCGGCCGGATTCCGACCGAAATCAGCTTTTNATGCTGTAACCAATGAGCTATCGCGCAGATCATTAAACTTAATGCATTCACTTGAAAATTACTCGACGTTCATGAAACCACTAACACCAGATTGGTGATCATATATAATTATAGTATTATCATTATATTATTATAGTATTATCATTATTAGTACTATAATGATAATACTATAATAATGATCATATATAAAAGGTATGTAAAAATGATAATACTTGATAATAATTCCAATTCTCATTCACGTAATAAGTCGCCGTGATGCAACGACCATCTTTTAATGGATTGTCAACATGCTTCACGTATCTTGTCCCATTACCTGGATACACTGCTATCATTGCCTTAAATTCATTTATCATTATCAGTTGTAGTATTATTATTCCAAATCTATTATCATTGATATGAATAAAGTGTAGCGAGTAGACGACTTAATGGTCAACAGCAAACCAATTTAGCTATGAGGTAAGTAATTATTTGCGTATTTACCCTCGAACGACCACAGATATTGTATGGAATAAATTTATTCAGATGAACAATTATTGAATCAATCATCGAAATTAGCAATCGAATTGTAACGGCACCATGGTCACGTTCACTGTTGTTTCCGAACCAATATATCTGCAATAATCATAATTTTAGCAATAATGAATGACCATAGTAAATGATAGGATCATTACAAAACTAATGATAATGGACAAAAGTCGAATATGAATAAGATCAAGACCAGATCAGATCGAATATCGAGTGTTGTCAAATCACGTTTACTAGCCATCAGTTGACCAGCAGTAAATACACCGCTTTCATAGAGTAATTGAATCTCACTGCAATTTAATGTCCATATATCTATTGTTATTGTCGTTTTAGGATGGAATACGATAAAAATTTCGGCAGGAATTTGCTGGCCACCAATGCAATGACAGGCACTCGACAGTGGCAAACATCAATCATATTTTGCGCTGTTCAGTGGACATCGACCGACGAGCGATTCAGCGCTCACCAACCGATAGGTGATTTACTGATCGCTGATCACTGATCAACGTGCGAT